TGTTTAACCATGGCACTGACTGCAAGTGTGGCCATTCGTCACAAGCAACATCTAAATTTTTTGATCAACTTAAACTGTGTGTGGTGCAATTCTTTGTACGTTACTGTATCCGGGTGTACTTTCATCGGGCTATGAAGTGTGTGTGTGTGTGTGTGTGTGTGTGTGTGTGTGTGTGTGTGTGTGTGTATAAAGTGTAAGTGTAAGTGTTTTTGTTGCATAACTTTAGTTAATCTTAAAGTCAACAGGGTTGAAAAAGACAACAATGCACTTAAATCTCCAGATTATTTCACACCTTCCCTCGGACACACAAATGCAACTTTTGTGCAACGCCTTCGCTGGGTCTGTGTATTGGACTATGGAGTTTGTGTGTTTCTACAACGATGATTGTGAACTCCTGTGCATTGACGTATCAATGTGCATTTGTAGTAGCCCGGGTGTGCCTTAAAAAATAAACCAAACATGTTAATACACATGTTCAAATCCGAACAGAATATTATAGCTTTTCAAGTAGTGTTGATGTCAGCATTTTCTCTTTTAGATTTTGACAAAAAAATCACAGTATAGGCTATGACATAAGCATCCCTACTTGGATATAAGAGAAGGGTTAGTAAAAAAGGCCATCTAATGAAAAGCCCTGTCAGTTTTGAGTATAACATAAGGTGACGTGAATGTTTTATTGGTTTTTATTGGTTTATATATTGGTTTATATATAATATTGACACTGATCTCCAGCAGAGGGCAGTCACAAATTGACAGCCAGTGCTGAATATCTATTGTGTGCTGCGTTAGGGATGGGAAATCTGATGATCTTATATTGTAGACAATCTTTCTTTGGCATATAATCTACTTTTGAGATGAATCGTACAAATCACGTAATCAAAAGGTCCGATATTTAAATATTTTTTGGGGGGCATGTCTGCCTTTATAGCTGCAGTGAGATAGAGCCAGGAAAGTTGGGGAGGACAAAGGGCCTCGGGTTGGACTCGAACCCGGCCCACTGCAGTAAGGACTGAGCCCCCATGGCATGCTCTCCACCAGGTGAGCCACTGGGGCACCCCAGATATTTAATTCTAGTTCAGTCACTGCTAACCAGCTCCCTGTTAAACAGCTAGCCTCCTAGCTGTAGCTGGTGACGGCAGCCCTTGTTCTGTTCTGCAGTCTCAGCGATCTTGGTGTAGCAGCACATCTACAAGTTCTGCACTGAAGTAGAGAAAGAATCACTGTCACTAGCTGCAGTCCAAGATGGTGGAGTTGTAGTCCCACAAAGCGAGACTTGCCAGGGCAGCGACTGAACTTTCAAGTTGAAGTACATACACATATAGTACCTCACAAATAACACCACTGTCCTAATGGATACTCCATATAAGCTAAACAAAAAGTGTTATTGACATAATTTGTAACTGGAAGACAGCATTGTGCATGGGCGAAGAATAGAGCCAAGCGGAGAAACATCCTAAAAAAAACGTCAAAGCGGATACAAATCACAAGAGCCAAAACAGGATGCAGAGATTTGTGAGTTGAAACGTCAGTTTTTGTATGCAGGCAACATTATGCATCACTAGTCATATGATCACAAGTTCAGCTAAATCAGTGGTATGACTTCTGCTTCAGATCATGGATCGTAATACTACCTAAATAGATAGTCACATGATCTTTTGGCCAGATCGCCCGTCCCTATGCTGCATATTAACAAAGTCTGTCATGATTAATCATTAACATCGACGTCAAACCGTCACTCAGAAAGACTGGCTCACTTTAGAAGTAAAAACTGAGCATTCATTCAGAACATAAATGATACTGTATTCACAAGCCAGATGAAGATAGTTGAACATATGATAGTTGGTGTGTCTGTGTGTGGAACAGTGACAGTGTTTAACTACTATGCTTGTTTCTGTCTGCCTGCATACATATGTACATCGTTCTTGCACTGCTTACACACACACACACACACACGCACACACTCACAAGTATGTGTGATAGGTTTTATCCTATCTGGGTCATCTGGTCTCCTCAGCAGGGATGATAAGTTGTTCGGACCAAAAAGGCCAAATAGTGTTTACTCTGTTCTGTGTGTTTACATGTGTATTTTTGTGTTTCCTTTTTCACAAATACACCATGTCTCCCTGTGTCAACCCCCCCACCACACCCCACCACCACCACACACCAACACACCACCACACACACACACACACGCAATGCCCCACCCCCTTTTAATACACACAGACGCACTTCAGTGGCAGGCGAAAAGAACGAGCAAAATGCTGAACAAACACAGGAGAGAAAACCTTGGGGGGAATTCCTCAAAGTGAGCTAAGAAATTCTGTCAGAACATTCACATACACACATTCAAATACTCAAGGGTACACACACACAAGTACATTCAAAATGTCAAATTGATGGGTGAAAACTGCAGAAACCCTATCAGCTAGATAGAAACACATTTAATTAGCAGCAGGCCACCAAATAACGGAACTAATCTCTGGTATTCCACATAAGCTGATGGTAAATACATAAACAAAAGTGCACACACAGACACACAGCTAAAGATACAATTACTGTAACACTGTATGCAATGGATTAAGGGGCTGTGCACCATCTAAAAACCAGTCTGTCTCAATAGCAGCTATCACAGTGGATCATAGTCTTTGTGCAACTAAAGATCATCAAAAGATGAAAAGAATTCACTTTGATCAAATCAGTGGGATTTGTTATCATCAGGACATAATTATCAGGTGGCTTGATAACTGTGCCTGTAGGATCTTCAGTGAGTGGCTGTCCCTTTTCCCACTGAGTGACAGTGTACAAGAAAAAGTTATAGCGTCTCATCTCTTGAACTCTTGTGATTTAACACTGCTGGTGATTGAAATACTGAAACAGTTCAACAGTTGAATAAATCTATCACCTTCATCTACAAAAGCCTCCAGCTTCGAGTTACTACCAAGATGAAGCATGTTTTCAGGCCTGTCTCTAAAGACAGAAACTTGGAGAACAACAGTTTCCTAAATCATCACAGGGAGTTCCCAAATTATGGATTAGTTTGATTGATGGCAAGTGTAGACAGCTCAGGGATATGTGCAACAGCAAGTTAGTTATTTCTTTTGATTTCATTTTTGCCAAATTAATTAAAAAAGCCTTGAACCTTGAAGTGAACGAGAAAATAAATTGTTAAACTGTTGCATTGTAAATGGTCCCCACAGTGGTAAATGCTGCCAGAGTTAAGTGTTTACCTGTAGGAGGAAAGCAGGCTAAAACAAAACTATAAAAAAGCTTTCAACAAGATGAATCAAGACTGAAAAAAAATAAGTCCACATTTTAGTCTGAGACTGGCTCTTTCTTAATAACATTAGCATAAATATAAATAATAACAGCCACAGAGGATATTTTTCAGCAGAACCAAGATGCACATCTGATAAAAACTGTTTGAACAAGTAATAAAAACTTTCATTTCTACACTGGTGTAAAAGTATATTGGAGCTTTAACGCCGCCTTCTTCTGATCTACTTTGTCTTCTCTCACTCAGTGAGAGAAAAGGGAATTTTAATCCTGCTGGTATCTTGAACCTTGACCAAACAGAGTAAGTGCAGCTGTCACTTTTTAACAGTATGAGCTTTTATTTTGTAACAATCCATTTCTTTGTCATCACTCGCTGCTTTTCTCTCCTGTCTGTCTGCCATGTCTCACAACACTGCTGCAGCACAGCTGTGACTGTGCGGCGACTACTCTGATGTGCTACGTCATTTATATTCACATGTGATTGGACAACTGGTTTGCTTTCGACAGGTTGCAATCCATCGCTCAAATATCTGTGGATGCTACGCTCACTGGTTTGACTCCGTGCTCAGTAGCATGCATGACAGATTTGGTTCTAATGACTTGTAAAACGATTCGTCATGAACAGTTGAATGCAGTAACAAACAGTGAACATAAGAAAGTTTCAAAGGTGTTTGATGGGGAGCAAAGGTCACTAAAATGTAGGCTACTGAAGTCTTGACCTATCCCTCCATGTTATTCTTTTGTTATAAACACACACACACAGGAGTGTGAGGTGAAACAGGCCTCTGGGGCAGTCGTCCAGGTTCGAACCTAATACAGTGGTATTTTCATGTCTCCCTGCCAAAAGCAACCCTGCAGCTGTGTGTGTGTGCGCCTTTGTGTGTGTATGTGTGCCTGTGTGTGTGTATGTGTACGTGCATGTGTAATCAAAGGTACTGTAGCACAGTGACTTTAGCCTCAGGGCCAAGGGAAAAGTAAGCATGGCGCACCTGCAGGAAGTTAGATAGTGAGAGGCTCAGGGAACCTGAAGACTTTAGATTTAGTTGAAGGAGAGAAGCAATGATAGAGTCCCACTTTTAACTGGCTACTAGTGCCCAGTTGTCTGAGACCTGCATGCCCCATAGTTTCTTTCTTACAGCTTCTTTTGCAGCCACTCTACATCAGTTCACTTTTCTCATGTCTCCACCCTGTTGCTGCCTGCTCGCCCTCTCAACAGTTTTTAATCAGTGTGTCAACAGGTCATTCACTGCAACAAGCCATGTCACACTTATAAACAGTGGGTGCCTGTTTTAAGTAACACCTTAGGCTACCACAAAACCATCAGTCATTGTAAGAAAAGTATTTCATATTTTTCATTCAAATCGGCTATGAATACATAATTTAGATTGCAGCTGAGAAAGAACATAGTGATGACAAAAATAGATCCAATTATGCATTTATCATATTTCATATTTATGTTTAAATCAGATAGGTCAACAGCTTTAAGAAGTTACACAAATAAGCTACAGTAATAACTCCACTTAGGATGTATATATATATATATATATATATAGTATATATGAATAAATAATTATAATAGAGTTGACTTTCCCACAACATGGTCACTGCAATTTCACTCCTGAGTGTCACAGAGATAGTTTCAGCAGTAAAGATACACTTTACTCACACACACACGCAACAAGCACCACTTTCAGAGAATGAAATATGAAATAACAAAGCCAGCTCACCGTCTCTCCTGATGTTGCCCCTCATCACTTTGGCTGTGGAGACCTGAGCCCTCCCGAGCCCGGTTATAGTCCCCAACAATAAAAGCATCCACATCTGGAAAACCACCGCTCCACTCATGGTGACAACAAACTCGTGCACGCTTTAAAAAAAAAAAAAAACCCGAAAAAACCTTCCGTTCCTGTGGCTTCAAATACCCCGCGACCAAAAAAAAAAGTTTGTATCGAAACTAACTTTCCATTCAGCGACTCCACTCTTTCATAATCTCTCTCGCTTACCAGCAAAAGAGAGTCACTTGTTGACTCCTATGCCTGACGCCTGGCGCACACGGTGTCCCGTCCTGTGCCAAAGTGCCAAAATATCCCAACTGTTTGCCTTCTCCTGGAAGTTAAGCCACAGAGGCGGCGAGAGCAAAACTCTGAAACAGCTCAGTGCAGGTGGAGGATAATATAGCACCGATCACGGTCAGATTTGAGGTCATAGGCGCCGAACTTCTTATCGCTGTAAAGGCAAAAAATTCTTTTCAGTCACCGAGAGATATCCCGCATAGTTTACTCATTTCTGTCTGACGCGTCTGCGCTAAGAAAGTCAGCGCGTCAAACTTTGCCAAGTGAGTTGTGCGCGCTCACGGTTTGTGTGTCTATGTGTGAGTGTGTGTCTGTGAATTATGGGTGTGTAACTGAGCGAAGTGCTGGGGCGGGAGGTGAAAGGGTGGGTTGGGGGGGGGGGGGTACACTTCTAAAATACACCTTTAGTAAAAAAAAAATTTCTATATCTATCTATCTATCTATCTATCTATCTATCTATCTATCTATCTATCTATCTATCTATCTATCTATCTATCTATCTATCTATCTATCTATCTATCTATCTCTTTGTAGCACACTTTCATGTTGAAAGTGAAACGAGAAAAGAGGGAACATTTTTGTTGGAAACCCTCAGAGGAGTGGGTCACCACAGCCAGGCACAGGAAAGGAAACATACCAGGAGCTTACTTGAGAGAGTGGAAGTCTCTTAGCTCTTGAGTGGTAGGAATAATACAGAGACTTCAGGAAACAGCTGACATGGGTTCACTTGGATTCGGATGCAGGAGTAAAATTCGTTGTTAGTAGAAGAAGATAAGGGTTTTTTTTGTCCTGGAGGCATCCACAGAATTGCTGCAAATGGCACCAACCTGCTGTCTGTTCCCTCACTCACATTATATTATCTTTTTCCAATCACTCACTCTTTGAAATAAGCTGTCACAACTCGTCTAACACAACGCAGATTACATGATGGCACTTGTTGAGGAATAAGTAAATCCAGGACATGGTTTGCCAGGAATCATTCAATAGGCAGCTTTGTGTAAGCCAAAGGCAGACCATTTCAGACAGGAATTATGTTTGAAGTAATTTTAGTAAGTAAATTCCAGAATGATTTATCCACCATTGCAAAATGTCAAGGTGTTACATGCTGTACCTGCAGCAAAACTAAGCAGTGCCTTCAACATTTCTACTGAGTTTATAAAAGTGTTCCTGGCCAAACTAATTCATCTCGGTGCACATTCACAGGCTAGACACTCACTCACTCACTCACTCACTCACTCACTCACTCACTCACTCACTCACTCACTCACTCACTCACAGGCTGATACTTCCTGGCATATGCAATATTTTTCTTTTTTGCAGGTTTCACAGTCTGTTGCATTATGTTACAAACATAACTTACAATATTACAATACAATAATATAATGATAAATTGTAAATAAAACACATGAAACATAAAATACAAAAATAAAATGATGTATTATTAAGAAAAAAAAAAAAAACAACTAAAATATAAAGTGCAACAACATACCTCACCCCCACCCGCGGTAATATCGTGAATCACAATATGTGGGCTGGGCTTTATCGAGATATTACATTTTGGATGTCACCCAAGCCTACTCACTCACTCATCACACACTTAAGCAACTCCCCTTCACTTTCTCTCCTTGCCACCCATACTCATGCATATCATCACATCTAATTCTAAGCATTATTTAGACTTTATGGAATGAACTTGCCAACTTGAAGTTTCTGCTGACTAAGCACAAAGCCTTCCCATTACCCAGCAATTGGCTAATGAGTAATGCTGCACCTTTAAAACTTATAACCACTTAGGGAATGATATAGGTTATTAATAGAGGGGGGGAATTAATTAAAATTATAAGCTATTAGACTACCCTGCTGAGCTTCAAAGGCATATGCACCCAGGGAATGAATTCAGAAGAGCACTTAAAGATCACTAGCAGGCAGAAATGTATCATACACCATGCATGCTTGGTGCACACACATGCACACTGACACACACAGATACATTTGAATCTCCTTTTACCATTCTGAAAATGTAGCCTGCCAAGACTGTAATGCCAGGTAAATGTAACAATATATAGACCTCTGCATGGACTATAATTTCACATGTGAAAAAAAAAAAATCATATTAACGGTAAAAACACAGACAGATCTGAGACCAACCATGTGATAACAGCAAATTCTGTAAATACTGGATATTTGATGTTTGAATACATGGTTAGGGCTTCAGTGCAGTTCAGTGGATTGCAGTGCAGTGCTAGTAGCAGATGTACTTATAATCTTTCTCTTACTATATTTTTCATTCCCTCTCTCTTTGTGTGTGTGTGTGTGTGTGTGTGTGTGTCCACAGCATGTGTCTGAATGATCTTGCATTTGTCTTTTCTTCCCTGAAGCAACTTCACAGTGCATAGATGTACTGTAGAGCAACCTTAATATCTAATGTGTGTCTAAGTATATGGGGGCGGCAGGTTTGCCTCAAGGTGGATATGTCAACCACTAAATTAAAAGGTGCTGGTTTAATTCCCATCACTGATAGACCTATCGTAATTGCTGAGGTGCCCTTGAGCAAAGCTCTGAACAGTTCTGTATTTGGCGCAAGGACACTGTGAAATTAAAATAAGTTTCAAGTTTGAATATTCCAAACATGATTTCATATGAAGTGATCCATATTACCTACAACTTTTGATGTAGTTATATTAAAGCTGTCACTCAGACAGAAATATGAGTTTTTTACGTGGTTGTGACTGTAGTGGGCCAGAGAATGTGCACACATTTCATTATTGGTTTAAGAGGATGACATTGGCACACACTGGCAGATCAATACACTCAACATCTAATCTAGTGGTAGCATGCGCTTAAGACAGGAGTGCGGGGGCTGTTGAGTTGTGATGGACTAAAATGATAAAGCAGTATGATTTTATTTCCCCACCCAAAGTCATTCATCGGTTGCCGTTTGTGGCCACTCTATTTGAACTATTTTCAAAAATAAATGAATTTCACAACAAGAAATGTGGCTGAGATACAGTTGCAGCATATTTTATTTTATTTGAACTTTTAAATGATTAACTGAATGATAATAATAATAAAATTGTGCAAAAGTTTAAAGGAATATAGACTATTTCTCACCCAGGCCTTTCACCATTGTTAATTACATATCAATCTAGTGTTCAAATTCCCATTGCACCTGCAGAGAGCAAAGCACTGAGTGATTTCATTATAGAAGTCACCCGTGGGCAGACCTTAGAAGTCAATGACACTGCAGGGTTTCCTTGCTCTCTGCTCATTTGCTGACAGCACTCCCTCTTAGCGTTGCTTCTTTTTAAATTTTGCACTTAGCAGTAATCACGATGACATAAATGCCTCAATCCTTGCAATGATTAAAGGTCTGGGTCACCAAAATAATTAAAATATATTTTCTCGCTCACCCCCAGTTGTATCTAGCCAGGCTGGCAGTTTTTCGTTTTATTTATAGATACCATTAGAAATGATAAGTTTGTATGTTTGCTGTGTAGTTTGGGTGAACTGATCCTTTAATGTAGTATTCTTCTGTGAAGCAATGCATGAAGATATTGACAGTACTTGGGCATCCCTGATAATCCAGTCTTTTCAAAAAAAGTCTTTTATACACAGAGTCATGCAGATTCATGTACCCCCACTGTAAAGTGTTTCTAAAGACTCATTTCAGAGACATAGGTGCTATCCACTTCTCTCTCTTTCATACACACACTCACACACTCGTTGTTATAATAGAGTTTCTGGTTTTGGTCCAACCGGGCTGGTTTCCCAGAATTGGTGTGGCCCTCTCCATGAGAGAGAGAGAGAGTGTGTGTGTGTGTGTGTGTGTGTGTGTGTGTGTGTGTGTGTGTGTGTGTGTGTGTGTGTGTGTGTGTGTGTGTGTGTGTGCGTGTGTGCGCGTGGAAACACATCTGTGTGTGCACAGTGTGATAAAAGCCATACTTATTATATGAATAACAGACTTCTTTGGGTGGTGTTTATGGGGCCAGCGTCTGAGCCATCATGATATGAAAACGTTGGCAAAATGAGAAAGAAGATATGGAGAGGAGGGTGAAAAAGGAGGAGGATGGAATGAAGAGGAAAAAAGGAGGAGGGAGACAGGAGGAGAAGGATACAGAGTTGCAGTCACATTCGGGAATGAAATACAGATACTGGAATCAAAATGAGGGCAAACTAGTCTTTTTGGAGAAAGAAATGCAGAAAAGGGAAGAAAGAGGGATTAGGGTCTTGATTTTGAGAAACAGATGTTGTAGTCAGTCAGTTGTCATTTGATACGTTTTATACCACACATAATAATGTCTCTCTCTCTCTCAGAGTCTGCCCCTATATTATCATCAACAATGTAACAAACCCAGAAAAAAGTGTATGTGTGTTTGCTCAGCATGTTGCTCTCTGTTGCCTGTCCTTAGATACGTGCCTGCGTGGGCTGCAGATAGGTACACAGGTAAGCTTGTATAAATTCTGCGACCTTGGTTTTATTTTTGGTGAGAAATGAGTCACACATGAAGCGTAGGTGAAGAAAATTGCCTTTTTACGTATTTGAAATCTGGTAACTGAAAAATCTTTAAACGTGCAAATTAAAAGTCTTATCTTGCTTTTAAAACGTAGAGACATTTTGCCTCAAAATGTCACCGTCTCTGCAGACACTTGGCATCAGATTTAACAGCCTAGATATCACAAGGCGAACAGGTCAAAGAGCATTGATCTCTTTTCTTCCTTTTTCTTCTTTCTGCTTATTCCTTCTTTTGTCCTCCCTGTCTCATCCCCTGCTTACTCTTCATCCGTCCATCCTTTGGCTTAAT